AATTCATATGGATAGGAACACATACACCATAAAATCTAAGTGTCATAAGGTTTCTCTCTAATTCATGAAAATGATTGTGAGGAAACGCTTTCACTAAGGAAGATTTTAAGGAGATAGTTGTTGTGAAAATTACGTTCTCGAATTCGATTATGATTACGGCATCCCTCTTCATAGTTCGAATTGTGAGAAGTGGCAAACAGTTTGAACATTTAAGACTTATTGCTATAAGTTCTAAAAATTGTTTATACACACATATGAGCTTTCTAAAAGGTGTATGAGCTTAGATAAAATCTTATCGAAGCATCTCGTATCAGAAATATGAACTTTGGTAAGAAAGTCAATAAGTATTGATTTCTAGAAATTCAGCTAATTTCTGAATACATGTCAAAGCTAGTTGGAGCATAAGTGTTATGCTGGTAAGAAGATAATTATCATGTTAGTGGGAGCATGATTATTATGATTTGCGATTTAGCAATATTAATTATAGAAAACAAAAGTTTCAATACGCAAAGTTGCATAAATTGAAAAGTTGTTTTGCTATAATTAAGGGAGATAATACTATACTTCATTTCGAATCTAAAAGCTTAGATCGATAAATTTTAATCAAATTTAGTCAAATATATATATGAATGTTATGTTGGAATGGTTCAACATAAGAAAATTCTATATATGGAAATGTTAATTGCGTTCTCAAAATTCGATTATGATTACGACATCCCTCTTCATAGTTCGAATTGTGAGAACATGACAAATATAAACATTATAGCAAAAGACTGGTTTAGTAGCATGTCTTTATGTGATACATCATGAATCGTGTCCCATATGCTTCGGATATAGGATCGATTATATGTGCTATGAAGTACAATCTGTTCTAAATTTTCCAAATGCCTAGGGCATTAAGAGGGAAAAAGACCAGAACTGGATATGACTAAAGTGATTAAACAACCCGTCAAGGACAATCTAAGGTTCGCTAAGGATTGGTCACTTGTGATCAGTTGGAAGTATAGTTATGAATGAACCATATCGACATTATTATTAATAGATAAGACTCTATTAAGAATGAGTTGTCATATGGCAAATATGGAAATGTTTCCATAATGGGAGTTGGATATTAAGAATCTATGAAGATTAGGAACTTTTATGCAAGAAGGATGTTCAAAGGAATGTACTTTGATTTTGAGACCTCGCTTTCGTGGAATTGTCTTGTAACAATCTCCAATAGAGCACTTTGTAATTTCATTGGCTGAGTCTTGGTGACTTTTGTGTTGTGACATTACAAAAGGATCATTGCATAAAATGTTAGAATCTAACATATTTTGACAGTGGCAAGAATTTGGCATTCTTACACTCATAACGAGGATTAGGAGTTGTGAAATGAGTATCATTGGTAATGTGTTCAATTGATCTATTTCACAAAGTAAGGACCATAGGTAAACATAGAGTGCATGCTTGGAGCATGGGACATCTAGTGTTCAATTCAAGTAGTAAGTTGATTACTCGAAACAATATACAATGAATAATGTGAAATCATTATGGTGATTAAATAATAAGTGTTTTATTTATACTCACAAGTTTAAGACCATATTGGATTCAATTATTCTTGTGTTTCACTTTGCATGTTTTGACTTCCATAATAACTAGGTTATTCAAACATCCACAGTCGGTCATACGTTGGAAGTAGGTATGAAGCAAGACTGACATGAATCCGTCTGTAGATTGTCTAAGGTGTTTAGACATAGCACAAGTTTGCTGCAAAATTCATGAGTGCTCCTGAAATAAGATTTGAGTATTGGATTAAACCCACACTCACTTGAATCACTTCATGGATTTTATAACGAGTGATTGTGAGACGATAATATCTTATATTCTTGAAACGAAGAGATATGAGTTACAGTTTGCAAATCGGTTGCACATTGATAATACGTAAACGCACCAGTAACTTGGTGTTATAAAACGTATTGTTGTGTGTGATTTGATGAGTGAATAGAGCAAGAATATGAGTCGAAGTTTATCCGTTCCTTTTATCCTAAGGGGATAAAAGCGATATCAATGGGCCCCTTGATGATTTAGTGATGACACCACAAAGCGCTTGGCCAAGCCTGGACTGATTTGATCTGTTCAATTAGTCAGTCGTCATGAATCAGAAATCAGGAAACAACACATGAACAAAGAGAATGATTAAAATCCATGTCTCACTTCATACGATATCTTGTAGAATGGAGGAATATATGATCCCTTATCTAAAGGACGCGCTTCTGATAAGATCCGAGTTGACAACGGCTTTTGAAAGCTACGATTGCTAATCAGGTTCTGAAGTCGTACTTGCAAAATAGTTATTAGACTTATCCAAGCGGGAGACTGTTGGATTAGGTGTCTAAGCCCATAAATATTTTGGTATGTACTTGACATGATTATGAGCATGGTCCTTTTGGGTTGCCTTCACTCATGCAACTTGATAGGATGACAAGATGATAGAGAGTAGAATTTATTATATGGATAATAAATTTGTACTCAAAATGGTTTTATTAATATATTATAAGATTAATATATTATTTGGAAATCATATTATTTAATTGGTATTGATCAGAAATTAATTTGGAATTAATTTGGTGGTCAAAAGAGACTGATTAAATAATTGGGGACTGTTATGCAAATCATTGATAGTTGCATAGATGAGCTGATGGACTCCATAGAGTGGAGTGGACGAAATTTATGGGGAAGCCCATAAGATTTCGTCCATGGGCTCTAAGGAAGGAGTCCATGGGTTGCTTAAGGCTTAAGCAGTCATATTAGGGTTTCCACCTAAAACCCTAGCAGCCACAAGTATAAATAGACCCCATATCAAAGGAATTTCGTTCATGCCATCATGAAACCCTAGAGTGGTCGAAATCTCCTCTCTCCTAAAGTCATCTTGTTGCTTGAGTGTTTGTGACTCCATTAGAGGTGCAACACTTAGGGCACTAGGCTTTCAGAAGTCAAGATCAAGAAGGTTTATGATTGTTATTGCTACATAACAATCAAGGTAAGATGTAAACTCTAATCATATGTCAATTTCGATTATAGTATGCTAGATCTAGGGTTTATAAGCTTTGGATAATTTGCATGTACAATTAGATAAACCTAGATCCAAAGTTCTAGGGTTTTGCATGTGCACATAGGATTGATGTATTGTATAAAACCCATCACCACCAACATATTCAGAACGAAGGCTCTCCTGATGTTTAGCAATATATTCCAACCGTCCCTCCTCAATACAAGTATACACATCGACCAGATATTGTTGAAACAGCCGACATGCATTTAAAATCGGAGACCATATGTGTTCCCGAGCATGAATCTGATACGCATAATACATGTTAACTGTAAGACTCCGAGCATCCGAACCAAGTTCATTTCTCAATTTCAAACGTGGAGACCAACCGTCTTCACCATATGGAAACAAAATTGGATATTACAGTGGCATATAAGAGGGATGAAGCTTACTAATACGCTGTGGCAGACCGAAATTAGAATGTACTACTATATCATACCTTGTACAGTTACTGTCATCACCACTAACTATGCAACCTAATGATCCAGGTGAAGGGAGATCATACCTACGATCTGGAACATTGTTAAACAAACGGACAGAATAAGAAGTTCTATTATGCTATTCTGCAACATCTTTTGCAGTTTTGAATGTTCGTACATACTCATTGTTCAGCCTGAAAAAGGAAACCAGAAACATGATTATACCCTCATCCAAATTCTTTTTTGTTGGACTATCAAAAACTCTAAACCTGTTATCCACTTCTTTTTATGTGTCAAATAAATAAAGCTGAAGAAACCGTGGACCTTTTTTAGGGTCGGGACAAAGGGAACCAATTTTGTGGCTGATATGTCCAGAAATCCTAAACACACACGGGCCACGATTATCATTCACATCGTCATCAACATTTGCTCCAAAAGACGTCATCAAGAACATACTGTTATAAGCTCTAATGCCCCGTAAAAAGTTGTCGTTACCAAAAAGGGCGTAGAAGTCAACAACCATTCTAGAAGGGTAAGGAAGGACACCCAAACCTCCTTTGCAACATCGATGATATCTCGGATGCTAAGTAGTAGATAGCTTCAGATACCTTTCGCTAAACCAAAAAAAAGCCCCACAAAATTCGCAGACACCATCGCAATCGCCAGTCTAGATATTCAGGAAGAACACCTGAACCATGCATTCGTCGAGACAACCGACGATGAACAACTGTAGAGCCATTAGACCGGTCAGTAGACGTGCCAAGGGACGACGCACTGGAGGAGGAGCCAACGTCGGCGCAAAGGCGGCTTACCACCATGACCCATAGCCACAGAGTGCAAACGGAAAGAATCCGAAGAACAGTAACACATACAACGAAACAAACGGAACAAAAAAAAATATAGACGACATACAGTTACCTGAAATCAGAAGAACAGACGAAAGGAAGGAAACATAGACGAAGACGGAAGACATGTAACAAAAACGGATAAACATGAAATAGAGTCACAAACCATGCAGAATGAACAACACGTGTACATACATTAAGAATACTTCCATAAAATACCCTGAAAAGAAAACGTATCCACAAGCAAACGACCAACAATAATACAAGGACCATTTCTGCCAACCCCTTAGGAACTTTACTGTTCCTAAGGGGTGCACAACTTTAATATATATATAATAATGAGTCGAAGTTGTTTTGATACTTTTGGACTTAAAAGCACATAAAATTTTAAACAACGATAGCTAGTTACATATATTTCAAAATGCAAGGACCAACTATAAAACGAAAGATATAATGTATATCACAATAAATAGAAGTTGCTTTAATACTTTTGGATTAAAATCATTAAAATTTTTAAACAATAAGAGCTAGTTTACATATACTTTCAAAATGCAGGGACCAATTAGAAAAGTATAGATTATCAAATAGCTGTTGCAGTCCGACCCGCTTCTTTTTGGCAGAAAATATATATTCACTTTTCCGCCAAGGGCTTCAAAGGCACAGGTGAAAAACTTGAAAGAAATCAAAGCAAAGCGCCATTGACTTCTCTAATTCCAAGGGTTTTCATTTCCATTTTCCCTCCATCAATGGCGGACGAAGCTCCGACTTCACAAGATCTTGCACCAAACGGCAATCAAGCGCCTGCATCTGTTGATGCCACCATCGACTCAACAGGTCAGGGTGGCACAGCCTCTTCGTGCAACAACAATAACGTTGTCGAGACATCGGGGCTGACGTCTGATGGAGAAAGGGAGAAGTCACTCGAGTACGCTGAAGAGTTGATGGACAGAGGATCGAAGGCTAACAAAGAAGAAGACTATGCCGAAGCTACTGATTGCTTCAGTCGTGCCCTAGAAATCAGGTTAGGGTTTCTAACTCTACATACTGTTTTAATTCAATTAATCATGTAGAAGTCTCTTTTCCTGTTGATTTATGCGAATAATCTCGGGTTCTGCTTTGTTGAAAGCAAACAAACCATGTTTTGAAGTGTAATTTTGTTTCCCGGAGAAGCATACAGTTTTAATTAACAAATTTGTTGTAATTTGTTGATTCAGAAGAATCTGCGATGTATGTTGAATTTTCTATGTTAACTTCTGTTGTGAGTGTAATGTTATCTCCAAATGATATGAGACATGTTCTTTCGAATATTGAAGATGATGAAATCTCTTCCTTTTCTGTTGTATCAGAGCTGCACATTATGGCGAGCTTGCACCTGAATGTGTGAGATCATATTACAAATACGGATGTGCACTTCTATACAAGGCTCAAGAGGAATCCGATCCATTAGTCTCTGGTACTGTTTCCAAGAAAGAATCCACTGAAAAAGGATCCACTAAATCAGCTGAAAGTGGAGAAACTTCTGTTTCAAGCAAAACTAAAGAAGGTACTTCAAATCTTCATAATTCACATCAATAATATTAGAAAATGTTTTCCACAATACAAATGTGGATGACAATGAGATTTATGCTCTTGTTTTTTTGAAGTGGAAGATCAAGATGAAGATGATGAAGGAAGTGAGGGTGAGGATGAAGAAGAAGACGAATCTGACCTAGATTTAGCTTGGAAAATGCTTGATGTTGCAAGGGCAATTTCGGAAAAACAACCAGGCGACACAATGGAGAAAGTAGACATTCTTTCAGCTTTAGCAGAAGTAGCCTTGGAACGAGGTATGCATATTTTGCTAATTGCTAATTACAAACATGACTTACCTTCAACTTTCTAAAATTCCAATTTTGCCCTTTTGTGTTATTCTTACAGAGGATGTTGAAACTTCCCTGAGTGATTATCTGAAAGCTTTATCAATGTTGGAACGCCTAGCTGAACCAGACAGTCGCCACATAGCCGAACTGTATCCTTTCTTTTCTCAAGATCAATACTTTTTTTAAATTCCGACTTTACCCTTTACTTGTGTTTCTGAATTCTGATCTTTCCTTAAAATATAAAATTTCAGAAACTTTCGGATATGTTTATGCTTAGAAATCGGGTCAAAGGGTCAAGAAGCAATTCCATATTGTCAAAAGGCGATTTCAGTTTGCAAATCTCGTTTAAAGAGACTTAAAAGTGAAGTGGAAAGTTTATCTGGGAATTGTGAATCGAGTGTTCTTGGTAGACAATCTTCTAATGCTTCACAAACGAATGATCCGATTTCTGAAAAAGAAAAAGAGATTGAGATTCTCACTGGTCTTTCTACTGAGCTTGAAAAAAAGGTAAATGTAAACCCACAGTTTTTTTTTTTGGGTTAATTTCAAAAAAGACCTTCTATTTTGTGTTTTTTTTTTCCGGATTAAACCTCAAATTTATTTTTTGTCTTGTATTTTTTCATTTTTCCTGATTTTGCCCTTTTAGTTATTTTTTGCCAAAATGATTGTAAAATGTGAGGGTTTTTTTGAGAAAAACTATAAAAGTTGAGGGTTTATTTGTAAGCATTTAGAAGGTTGAAGGATTTTTTTTCAGAAAAAAATTCAAAGTTGAGGGGTTTTTTCGGAAAAATAAAAAAAATAAGGTCTTTTTCAGGCAAAAGATAAATCTGAGGTTTAATCCGGAAAAAATACAAAATATAAGGTCTTTTTTGAAATTAACCTTATAAAATAACAAGTTCTTTGCTTTATGTATCAGTTTAATTGTTTTATTTATCTTTATAAAAATAACAAGTTCCATTTCTTGGGATTGTTTTCTTGAATAATAATTAATTATATTTGTGAAAATGTATCAGCTTGAAGATTTGGAGCAAATTGTATCAAACCCATCATCCATACTATCCGACATACTTGGAATGATGGCCGCCAAGGCGGCAAGAGGCGGAGGAGAGGGTTCTAGTGGCGGCAGCGGTGGCGGTGGATTGAGTTCTTCACGGATTGGAGCTGGTGATAGTTTCGGGTTCGGGTCGACTACTGTTTCAACAACTCAAACCACCACCACCACTGGTGGTGGAGTGACACATCTTGGGGTGGTGGGGAGGGGGGTGAAGCGGGTGTCCATGAGCACAACTGGAACTGAATCTTCTCCAGCAAAAAAAGTTGCATCTGATCCAACGGCTGATAATGATGCGGCTTGAACCCTCTCTGTAGGGGTCGTTTGATTAGATTGTAAGGAATGTGGTTTTTATGTGGAATGAAGACGTATTGGGTATGATTGTCAACAACCTTTTGAGAGGTTTTAGGTTTTAAGAAAAATCTTTGTCCATGAGTATGGATTTAAAGCTTTTATTTTAAACAAAAAAAACTGTTTATCTAAAAGTTATTTCAAGTCATTTACGAGAGTTTTTAGCTTTTTTTTTTAATGTTTTTTTTTTTTTACATATTTTAGAAGTTTATTATTATTTTTTTGTCATGCAAATAAAAGCTAAAGTGTTTTAACAAACATATCTTTAGCAATATTAAAAAAAACCACAACTTTTGAAGTGAATATTTTCAGCGAAATCGGTTCCTTTTATTTTAAGGGAATTTTTTAGACATTTTATCGTTTTTATAGTATTTTTTCCCAAAAAAACATTTTCAACCTAACATGAAACTGAAAATTTGTGCTGCGACACTGATTTTATCAAAAAACTTTTTTTTTTTTTGAAGTTTTTGAACAATTTGATTTTGTGAAAGTGTGATTTTGGCATGGAGAAATTATATGTCATTGGGAATTAGGCCTGACAATCGTGTTGTGTTCGGGTTGGCGGGTTAAAATATATCAACCCAAATACGACCCATTTAATTATACAGGTCACGAGTTGACGGGTTTGGAACCTAAACTTATATATGACCCGTCAACCCACTTATTTATACGGGTTTACAAGTTGGCGGGTTCGTGGGTCAGATTCGGGTTCGTATGTTCGTGGGTCGAATTCTATAAATAAAATTGATAATTAAACATGAAATCATGAACAAATTCTTGATGCAAACATATCTGAATTTTAGAAACTTAAGTCTTAAACATCTAAATGAAAATTAAAAACATTTATGCAAACATGTTCAAACTAAAACATTAATACAAACATAGATAAATTTCAATCGCACCCGTTGACATCGGTCGATAATAATTCAATAGTTCATGCCGCCATTCTTCTGAGATACGGAGATTATTTAGGGCAAACGCCAAACGCGTTGCAATGCAAATCAGCAGATGGTTACCCACGGGTCAAATGGTCAATGATATTGGGTATCCTATCCTACTATAAAGTATAAACTGTATAGAGTATAATATTTAATACATTTAAGAAATATATAATTTTTTTTATTAAAATACTAAACGGGTTGGCGGGTCAACCCGTATATTTTTTGAGAAACCCATATATAACCTGTTTAATAAACGGGTTGATGGGTTCGCGGGTTGGCGGTTTTGACGGGTTGAAAAACTCAACCCAAACACGTTTATTTCGTGTCGTGTCGCGGGTCGTATTGCAGGTCGTGTCGAGAATTGTCAGGCCTATTGGGAATTCTAAATTGAAATTTGGCATTGCAATATTGTTTAAATTTTCATCCAAATTTTGATTTCCTTCTTTTGGTGGGACCATATAAAAAAAATACATTTTACAGAAAATAAATACTGATTTCGCACTGAACTCATTATTTTGTAGAAAGCAGAAAATTTTGAACTGTTTTATGAAATTTCTTATTAAATATGACTATATTTGTATTTTTTTTATTTAAATATATGACTATAATTAAACCAGATAACATAATACAATTGGGTGATTGTAGTTGTAGGCGTGTAGCTACATGCTGGTTATAAGGAACGGATAACTTTGTTAACATGACATTTTTGTTTTTGTGACAATTAAATATTCCCTAGATCATCTACAATACAAGTTGTGTACATAGTTGTTTGATATATTAAAATAATAATAATAAATTAATGAATTGAGATCTTTAAAAAGATTTAAACTTATATAAATCTACAATATTATTATCACATATATTAGTGAATGGCATTAAATATGAGATAATGAGAGGTAGATATGTACCCATGGTACCAAGCATACAAAATTAAATGCTTTCATGGTCTCAAAGTTTTAATATGTGTTGGAATTTAATGATGGTATTAAATTTGATATGCACTATGCACTCATTGAAATTATTATTTCTGTTAAAATATAAAATATTATAAAAACGGTTAGATTGTATATAAAGAAGCAAATACACATCCTTTAGGCTTATTTTTTGTTTTGATATATATTTTTTGAAATCAACTTTTATGTTTCTTTTTTTTTTTAATTATTTTGCAACATTTTAGTGTTTTTATTTATATTTATTACTTGCACATCAATAAATTTAAACATTACTTTTAATTTTTCTCTATTTATTGAAAATAAATCAATACTCAAATAATAAAATATTCAAAATTTTAAGATTTATAAAGAAATTAAAAAATAAAATAACTAGTCTTATTTTATTTTTTATTTTTATCATTTTGATCTCATTGAATTTCAAATCTTCATGTGAGCCTCTAAAAAAGATTTGGTAAGGTGAAATTAGGTGGGAATTCATTTCTTGATGTGATAAGAAACCACATCAATATATATTTGTACGATTCAAAATTTTAAAAATAAACATCATGTTTGGATGTTTCATTGGTCTTGTTTAGTTAAATATTAAGAGATAAATCATAATGTATCATAAGAAGATTATATTCGGATAGTATTTTTTTTGAAAAATTTAGGTTGCGTTTAGTTACGGAAAAACAGTTTTCATTTTTTGTTTTTCGTTTTCCCGTTTCAGTTTTTGTTTTTTGTTTTCAGCATTGGAAAATTTAGAAAACACGTTTAGTTAAAACTTATTCATTTTTCATTTTCAGTTTTAGAAAATTAGAAAACACGTTTAGATGTGTATATTTCTATCGGTTTTTATTTTTAGAAAACGGTAGCGGTGGTAGGATGGGGATGAGGGCAACCGGGGGGGGGGGGGCAGTGGTGATGTCGATGATGGAGACGGTGGTGGTGGTTGTGGCGGCGGCGGCGGTGGCAACAGTGATTGCGGCGACGGTTGTGATGCTGGTGATGGGGTAGTGGTGGTGGTGATGGTGATGGGTAGGTCGGTGATTGTGGTAGTGGTGTTGGGTGTGTGTGTGTGTGTTTATAGGGGTGGGGTGGGTGTGTGTGTGTTTATAGGGGTGGGGTGGGTGTGGGTGTGTGTGGGTGTAGGTGTGAGTGGGGGTTGGGGTGAGTGTGGGTGTGTGTTTGTGGGTATGTGTGTGTGTGTGGGGGGGGGGGGTTGGGGTGGGTATCTGTTTATGTGTGTGTGTGTGTTTGTGGGGGTGGGGGTGCTTTGTGTTTGTGGGTGTGTGTGTGTGTGTGTGTGTTTGTGGGTGTAGGTGTGTGTGTTGTGTTTGTGGGGGTGGGGGTGGCTTTGTGTTTGTGGGTGTGGGTGTAGGCGTGTGTGTGTGTGTGGGGGGGGGGGTATGGGTTGTGGTAGGTGTGTGTGTGTGTGTGTTTGTGGGGGTGAGCATAGGAGTGGGTGGGTGTGGGTAGGTAGGGGTGTGGTGGGTTGGAGGTGTAGAGGTGGGGGTAGGTAGAGATGAGAATAAGGTAGTGTTTGTTTTTTGTCTGCAGATCTGCGTGACCTCTTCTGTCTGCGCCGCGCAGACCTCGCGCAGACATTAGCCTTCGCATACTGTTTGTTTTTTTGAAGACTGCAGACCTAAAAATGTATGCGCGCCCTCTTCTCGGCGCAGATGTGGACCAGAGTCTTCTAACATCTTCAGACATTTTCTAGCCTAAAAAACATATATATCTTTATTTTTTTAAAGTTTTTTTTAATTTATATTTTTTCCAACTTTATTAATGATAAACAATTTGAAAAAAAATTACAAAACTTAAAAAAAAAAGGTTCGACGATACAAACATGATATTTTTGACAAATTTATAAATAAAGATTTATTACAATAATAGTCGTTGAAGTTGTTTATATAAATATGAAAAAAAAATCATAATATATTCTCATATTTTTTTGCAAAATTTTGTAAAACATTATTTAATACAGTATCGTCAATTTCTCGAGAAAATATTTATGGTACGTTTTTAATGGATTTAATTGAAAAAATCGAAGTTTATTTCCATCCATTTATGTATCAAATTCTTTGATCGCTAATTATAATGTTTAGTTATAATTTTGCAACCAAAGTTGTTGGTTTTTATCAAATATATACGTTAATTCATACCATTTTTATTTTTATTTTTTATACAATAATACATAAAAGTTGATCTAGATTCGTTAATTATTTATAACAAAGTCATAAAAATATTAAAAAAATCACTTTGAAGTTTAAAAAAATCAGTTTATTTAGATTTCAGTTTATTTTAGTAGCCCGCAGATGTTAAAAAAACAAACAGTCTTCTTTTTTTAGACTGCAGACGTTTGGTCCACCTCTTCCACTGCAGAGGTCTACAGATGTGGTCCGCAGACTGCAGACATTTTGCATCAGAAAAAACAAACAGCACCTAAGTGTGTGTTTATATTTTGGAAAAATTTTGGAATTAGAAAAATGTGGAAAACAATAATTATTGATTTTCCAAAAATTTCCAACTTCTTTATAATTTTAGAAAACGGAAAATTTTCATTTTCCTTGAAAAATTAGAAAAATAGACGAACTAAACGCGTTTTTAAAATTCTCATTTTTCTTGGAAAATTTTTCTGAAAAACGGCCAATTTTTCCGCAACTAAACGCACCCTTAGCATTTTGCTTGTATATTTAATTATTCTTTGTTATTTTAACATCTAAATTACTAAAACTACCTGATGTTAATTGTGAGCTCAGATGTATGTGATCGTGACTTATGATCTTGTAAACCGGCAACACAAATTTTGATTGATTTTTGTTTAAAAGTGCAAAAAATATTTATTTTATAAGTTTACATTGAAACTATGAACATATAATATTAACATTAGTTTATTTAGATTTTTTTTGAAGGACGATTTTTTAATGACTAAATTATCTATTTTCTAACTTGTCAATGCTTTAGATTTAGTTGAACAAAATCAGTTTTAATGGTTTTGAAAAGAAAAAGGTAAAGAATTTCCTTATTTAATTCCCATAGTGCTTGGATGTATGTTCTATTTAATGTAACCGCAATGGGGCCTATTAATAATTCACCCAACTTATTTTTATCATACTTTATAATTTAATTATTTTTCAATCATTTCAAATTTTGAATTATCCTTAATTATCAG